CGGGGGCGCCGAAGGCTGCAGGCAGACAGCCCAGCCCCGCAGTGCCCTGGGGCTCTGGCGTGGGACGCGGGGCTGCGAGCTGTCTGCCAGCCCACGTCAGGCTGATGGGGCTGCACGGCGTGCAAATGTTCTTCTGTCGCACTTCTTTATACAAATCCTGTTCCGCCAAGCTGCAGCAACTGACTCTGCGTTCTGAAAAGCAGCTCCAGCTTCTGTAAAATCTTCAGACCATGGCCGTGGTATGCTGCCTTCCAGAAGCGCCGTGGAGCCACCGAGGAGTATGCCAAAGACTTGCCCCTGACGGCTGCCTGACTGTTCTTTGCGGCCACAAAAATAACCAAAGTTCTCAAATGCTGCCGTTTCACTCTGCAAACAGAAAGGCTTTGGAAGATCCCAGTCGCGAGCTGCGTAAGGACTGGACCTGCTCTGAAAATTGGTATCTGTGTTTACAGCATGTCTGTAATTCAGCTGGACCTCCGTGGAACATGTTCCTGAAGCTTTTATGGGGGAAATGGCAAACTGCCAAGCGAACTGGCTCTTTTTCGCAGAGGTTCGACACTAGTCAATGTGACTGACTCGTCCTGTTACCTTCTCAGATTTATCACAATAGATGGTGTCTGACAAGTCCAGCACGTTACAGTATCAGCAGAGAGAAAAAAACAAAAGTAACATCTCCATTCTTTTAGTTCATCACTTTCAGCCATGTATAATTATAGTTTAATTCAGAACTTTATTTTTTCATTAAAACTGTTTTAATCAACAATTTTTTTTCTTAAATGTGAAACCAGTGAACAATGATTCTGTTTTATTCTGAACCAGGAGTCCGCTGTTATGTTCTACTGGTCTGTAAAGCAGCTGTGCCAGGTGGCAGCAAAACTTGATGCTTCAAGCGCTCTTCCCCACATGACACACCAGGTCAGGTATGGACAGGGAGTGCTGCCAACCTGCCTGTCGTGTGCTGACAGGTATCCCCACCTCTCCTTGCAGCTGTTGCTCCTTGCCCAGCCTCTGCTGTGAGCAAGGCAGGCTGGGGTGGAGCCCGGCATGGCGCAGGGCCAGGCGCGGGGCAGGGTGGAGCGACGGGACGCAGGCGATGCCCGGCGTGGCTGAAGGCAGCCAGGACGTTGCTGCGCTGGGCTCGCCGGTGGACCTGCCGAGAGGTGCGAAGGCTGGCGCGAGCTGGGGGAGAGGGCTCGGGTCAGGGTGCCTGCGGCGCTGGCAGTGCATGGACCGGGCTCCTTGGGGGGCTGTGAAGGTTTGGTGCGTAGAGGCCGGACGTGGGGCAGGGCAAGGCATGCCCGGGGACCCCC